TTTTTTTTTTTTTTTTTTTTTTTTTTTTTGATGAAGCACCTTATCTTGACTGCCATCGGTTGGCATATAAGATACCATTATCAACCAAGATCTCTGCTTTTTCCATATTGCACGGCCTCCAATGCCCATCAATCAGGACAGACTTTAACGCTTCGTATATACTGTCAAAAATGTGCCAAGTATATCAGAAACATATATCGCTGCTACTCAAAGAAGAGGGGGCAGTACACGGTGGACATCCTTTTTTAATGTTCCTCTTTCCAAGCTTGATAGGTTGTGTAGGTGTATCATTGCATACATGAGTAGTAGGGTACAGTCCTTCAATTCTTGCCTTTAGGTGTGAACAGACAACGCATAGAATTTCCAGTTGACTCGCGTTCTTAGCCTGAGGCACAAGGGATGTTGCCTGGATGTAATGTAGCGAATCACAGCACGGGCGCTATCAGATGGCGCGATCAGATTAGATAGGACCCATCCCGATGATCACGAGGTTCCTGGCTTCAATTGTGCTGTATGTCCGAATGTCCCATTCGGGAGTATTCCTCCGAGTTCAATTCCAGTTTTAGTGTAAAGATATTTATTGTCACGATTAAACATTGAGATTATGCTACGCTAGTCAGAGCACCCGGCGTGCACCTGTACCATACATTCCAACTCTCAGGACCACGTGGGCCTCAGACTTCGCCCCAGGCCGGACTCGGTCGGAGGGTGCGGGCGACTCGGTCACGCCCCACTCGCACTCTGCCATCTCCGAGCGTCGTGACTCTGCCTTCTTTCCCCTCTTCAATCATCACTCACTCCCTCTGTATCCTCGATGCCATGCTGTCCACCAGCTGGCTTTTCCTCCTGGTATACTTGGGGCTGGCCTTTGCCGGCCGGCCGCCAACCGACGAGGGATGCGTGACGGCGGTGTACACCGCCCTGGGTTATCTCTCTTTTTCCGGCGACCCGGCCCAAGGAGCCTGGGAGGCGCGCTGTCAGAACCGGCTGAAGGTGACCTCGACGTATGCCTCGGCGGATGTTTACTGTACGGAGGAGGAGCACATCGCGGGATTCGCTCAGTTGCAAGGCTACTGCCTTGAATACGGCAAGGTCGACTTGATCCCCCGCGAGCAGTTGGCCGAGAATCTCACCCACGATGCGCTCAGTCGCATGCCGGTCGTCGAATATGGGCAGATACCAAAGTCCCAGCGCATCCCCACTGCGGTTCTAATCTCTCCGACCTTTTATCGTCGGACATTCGACACAATAGTATGCTCCCAATGACGTCTATCGCTGCGACTACCCATCTAATCTGTTCCCTCCGCAGGATACTTGGCAGTTCGAGGTATGGTCACATAACGCATTCGGGTAAGACAGAAAAGCTCTATATTTTGTAACAGTCATACTGACCGGAATAGCTTATTAGGATATGCATTCTGGGCCCTCGTCATCGCTGTTGGCATCTCCCACCGCCTCGTGCGACACATCTTCCACGCGCTAGACATTCGAGCAGGACAATGGGCGCGTTCACGCCTACAGTGGCTGTGGATACCGTTGGATGGGATATATCACTGGTTGCAGACTCATCTGGTGGTACCGGCTCCGTTGTCATCGCCACGGCGGAAGCTGCTTTGGTGGACGTTTCCCACACGTGTTGAAGCGGTGACCGTTTTGTTGTTCTGGGTGTTGAGCGTCGTCTTTTGCACGTTGGAGTACCGGCCAGTCGAGGGGAATCTCTAGTACGTTCCTCAGTCTATAGGCTCGATGCAGCACAACTGATGAAAATACAGTTGGCCTTCTATTCCGGACCAAATCATGCGCTACGCCGCTGACCGAACCGGTGTCTTATCTTTCGCCAATCTCCCGCTAGTATGGCTCTTTGCCGGGCGCAACAATATCTTCATCTGGGCAACAGGATGGAGCTTTGGGACGTTTAACTTGTTCCATCGGCATATTGCCTGGATCGCTACTTTCCAGGCTGTCGCACATACCCTCATTTACCTTGTCATCATGTACCAAAGTATGCTTCTCGCATCGACATACCCATAAGCATATTACTAACAACCTTACAGAAGGCAATGTCATCAGAAAGCTTCACAAGCCGTATCTGATCTGGGGAACACTGGTATGGCTGTAGCTTACGAATACGTTTGGGTCCACACTAACACTCCACAGGCAACTGTTGTGATGGTCGTCATTCTTCCATTTGCCGTGCAGTGGTTTCGCCACCGGTTATATGAGACATTTCTTCTCCTGCACATCCTCTTCTCCATTGCTCTTCTGTTCGGATGCTTCTAGTCAGTCCCTCTCTCCTATTTTCATGCAAGCTAACTAACCACTCTCTACCCAGCCACACAATTATCTTCGAAGGCCACGAATACTGGAACTACCTTTGGCCAGCAGTAGCCATTTGGATCGCCGACCGTTCTTTACGCCTAATCCGCCTCATCTACTGCAACATCCACGTGCGAGCCAACGCCGGAAAGGGCGTTCAGTATACGCGCAGCACAGCAACCTACGACCCATCATCCGACGTCATCCGTCTTGAAGTGACCCCGGGATCAGCACACATTCGCCCCTCCCCGGGAGACTTCTACTACCTGTATCAGCCCTTCCGACTAACCGGCTGGGAAAGTCACCCATTTACACTCGGCGCATGGTCCTACGACACTCAGCACCGCGGGACCTCCTCATCAAAAGACAACGGACTAGACATAGATGTCACCCAGGTGCCCCTTCTTTCCGACCCATCCTCACCAGGCACAACCACCCCCGACGAGACCCAACTCAAACACCCACAACCACACCAACACAGCCGCCATAGTCAGCAGCAAATTCCCAAATTCATCTTCTGGATTCGTCCCTACGACGGCTGGACCCGCTCCCTGCGCCAGCAATGCACCAACTCCCCCGATCTAACTACCACCACAACCATCCTTCTCGAAGGGCCCTACGGCAACCACTTTCCGCTATGGAGCTACGAATCTGTCCTACTGATAGCAGGAGGAACAGGCATAGCAGCCGCGGTCCCGTATATCCAGGACCATATTGCAAGGTCATCTATCGAGTCAGACACAATTTCCTCGAAGAGCAACAGCACCACGACCCAAACGAAGGATATGCACCTCGTCTGGGTAACCCGCCAAGAGGCGTTCGCACAGCAAGTCGCGGAGAGAGAATTAGCTCCTGCGTTAGCGAGGGATGATTTCCGAGGGTCGTTTTATTGCACTTCTTCTTCTTCTTCAACTCCTACTCCCGCCAGGTCCGGTGATGACGACGGAAGTGACACAGATACCGATAGACGAAGCAGCCGAGATCATCTCTGGAAGGGAGACACTGGGAATATAGATATCCTTCCCGGTCGGCCCGATCTAGAATCGCTCGTTCTGGACCACGCGCATGAAGCCCAGCTGAGTGAATCATCTGCCGTGGTACTGGTATGTGGGCCTTCCGCGTTGGCGGATGAGGCGCGTGCGGCGGTGCATTTGGCTATGAGAAGAGGGTATCGCCGGGTACGGTATGTCGAGGAGTCGTTTAGTTGGTAGATCACTACTTGGACAAGACGAGGTTAATGAGGTTATGAGAATTGTTGGTATATTTCATTGCAATACAATAGAGCTGTGCATAGTTATAGGGTTACATATTTATAACATGGTGTTGATAGACTGAATTTCAATGGATGGCTCGGTTGTCAACCAGTATGTGATATCTCTGTGCCTCTCCAAATCTAGGCAAGTACATGCTTTGATTTCAGCCGGGTAATTGGGATTTTTATTTCCTAGCTTTGACATGGCGATTCCTTGAGCCGGGCAGGTTCTGGAGGAGTAAGTAGAAATTGGCCTGTTATAAGCTTGCGCTGTGTTTTATATAAGCTTAGATCAATATTAATTTCTTAAATAACAGTAGACTCACAGGAGTCTTATGAGCCTCGCACCTTCAAATATACATGATGTGTAGCAAGTACTAGGACGAGCAGTGTTGGACTTTATCATTACTAGTTGTCTTTATCTCCAGGCCGGTCCAGAATCTGAAAGCACCCTGTGATGTCTGTTTCTGCACACGCCATAATGCCTGACTAGAGATAACCTCCCAGACTGTACGACAGTCCAACAACTCTGAGTCGAGCGCTTGCGGGCGATTCTTCCCTCACTTTAATAAAACCACCGATTAAAATCACAGCCCAATTCGCTATGGGCTTCACGATACCCTCCCAATAGTCAATCTGACCCCATTTATCGAGTAATCAGCTAGGAGTCGTATCATCGAGGGGGAATACGTAATATTCGTCATCTACACAGCCCCGCCCAAGGATATCCTCCCAATGGTCAATCACACTCCATACATGCGCAGATAACTTTGGCAATGGCTTCTCCGACAGCATCTCCTCCATGAGTACCGAGCGATTGACTGTGTGTCGGCTTTACTTGTACGTCAATAACGACGTGCCCTAGATCGCGCTCGAGGCATCAGGCAGCCGGCGACAGGCAAAAGCGGCGAGACATGGGCACGACGACTCAGGCGGGTTGGTAAATTAAACTGCGAGTATGTAAAATTGGAGTTATATTAGATTATAGCAAGCTATATTGCAGGAAGATACTAAGTTTGAATATATAATATATAAGTTCTTCCAAGCTGAATATAATTATAAAATATAACTTAATATCAGCATCCATATAGACCGGGCAGAGCACGGTGAAACAGATTGTTCGGATCTAGTCGTGCCTTCAACTGCCGCAGTCTTAAGGCCTTCTCTTCGCCGAAGAATCGTTCGATGTCTACTTGGTCAGGGGGCCAAAAGGCAGGGAACCCTCCTCGCAAGGAAAGACCGTTCTGATCAATCGCTTCCTCCAATTGTATGACCCAGCTGGCTGCTGTTGCAAGCTCCTGTTCGTCAACTCCGCCTGGCCTGGTGCCCCCATGAAGGCCGAGAATGACATGTTGGTATCGATTCGGAAAGGCCGCCCCGACAGGATCGGCGACTTGGTGCCGAACACCCTTACCGTGATTATTGTGAAAGATGACAGCGGACAGCGGGTACGGTGGAGGGTGCCGTGCGAGAATGGTGCCAACCTTCTGATGTATCCGATCGACGTTTCGACTGCGGAAGAATGTTTCTGACGACGAATCACCCAAGCCATAGGCGGCTGGTGTAGCTTGATACAGGTCAGTTTACTGGAAGTCCATATCATAATGGAAGCATAGAACTTACTCTCCGTGACCGTGTTCCCCAGAACCCTGCCGGCCTGCATCATCTGCTCAAGGAAGCTTTTCGCAGGCCCGAGGTCCCCGCTGGGCGAAGTCCAACACCAAAACATAACAAAACAAGGCTCGGCTACCGGGGTTGGAGCCATTTCAGGATTTACAACGATGGCATCTCCGCTGAACTCATCAGGAAAGTCATCATCTAAGAGCCTCTCAATCCTGCCCATGACCGTTGCGGCATCGGCCAAGGGGAAGGCCAGGAAGCCCGCGTATAGTTTAGGCACTGGGTAGACCTTCACGCGAAGCTCCACGACAATGCCGAACGTGGCAGCCCCAGCGCCGCGGAGTGCCCATAGTAATTCTGAATCTTCGTTGGTGTCAACCACACCGCCGCCGGCCAAAACCACTCGAGCTCCCAGTATTTGATCCACCCCAAACCCGTATGTTCCAACATAGAAGCCGTACCCTCCGCCACATGCCCAAGAGACATAGCCGACAGACTTTGCCTGTCCAGTAGGAGTGAACAAGCCGTGAGAATGGAGGGTTTCCTGCAGGTGGCCGGCAATCACTCCGCCACCAACGCGTGCGCTAGCTCGGTCCGACGCAACACTAACCGTGTCCATGTCACGCATGTCGATAAGAATGCCGTTGTGAATCACGGAGCGGCCGAAGAAGTCGTGACCACCTGAACGAACAGCAAAGGGGGTCTTTTGTTCGGCGCAAAATTGAACCAAGCGGGAGACCTCTTCTTCTGTCCGCGGCCGAGTGCAGACCAGTGGTTTCTTTCTCAGCGCATGGTTGTATAGTTCGAGACAGTCTTGATAGTGCGTGCCTTCGCTATATACCGAGAGGCTCGGGATGAGACGCCGCAAGCGGTCTTCGACAGATGACTGACTGTTTGGCATATTTAATGAGGGGGCGGAAGATGGGTTTTGCGGTATGGTCGGGGAGGTAGATTAGGGGGTCAACATGTTGTATAAAGGTATCGTTTCAGCATCGGCAACCTAGGCACGATAATGACGACAACAACAACGTAGCATAGTTACTAAGTGATGGGATGGAAAGCATATCCCGTTCGCTAGTGGCTGTGTGCATGGGGAATCTTGGAACTCCTAGGTCCACTATATACTTTCCGTTTCGGGACAGATCGCGAGGGTTTCGTCCCACCCATCGGATTAGCATCCGAATCGGAACGGGTTTGCCCCACCCTCAAACCAATCCAAGAGAACCGTCCACGGGCTTGTTTCACCCATCATGATTATTTTCGAGGAAAGGAAACCTACTTAGTTGATGGAATTAGAGGAGTGTGAAAGAAATACTTCTAGATCACAGGCGAGGATGTATTATTTTACGCAGTCCCAGGGACTTGGCTTGTTGGACAAGTACTAATATGTAACCCCAATAGGGGCCCCAGAGCCCACTTCTGGGGTCCAATAGCTATATCCCATGCCCCATCTCATTTGAGACTGGTGGGATCATGGGCAAGACTAGTAGAAGATGGCTATATACACGTCTCAAAGCATCTTTCTAAGATACTCCCACACATGATCGGGTAGGGCTCTATAGCTTTCCAATTTTCCTCCGAGGACGAGGTCCTCTAAACTTGCTTTCCTGTAGTCCTTAACTTCCCATAGATCATTGGGAAGCATCTTCATCATTTGTCCCGTTCCCCAGATTTTGCGGCAATAGGACGGGACGGCGAGATTACTCTCCCTGCTGATACAATCCTCAATCATTCGATCGACTTCCTCTAAGCTTCGTGTCGCAATAGACGGGTCGCTGCCGTTCTTCTTTTTCATGATCGCAGCAATTTCCATGCCTGTTGGTGCAAGCTCTGACAAGGTAATGGTCCGGTTCTGTATAGTGTGTATAGGTCTGGTGGTAAATATATCGACGTACGCAGCCGCTACGTAGTCCTTGGTGCTATAACAAGGAGTTAGTGTAATCAGACCAAAGTGATTATTGAGATGAAGAAGGAGTCTCTGGGATCCCAGCATCCTTAGAAGCCTTTTCGAGTTTCGCTTTTGCCGTCATACAGGGCATGCGCATTCCCTGCTCGCAATATCGCAGGCAGAAATCCGAAGGGACGAAAAGCCGGACATTAGTCCTAGGGATGGCTTTCACAAAACCATACTGTCTGTCGGTACCCTCGTCTCCAACCAGAGAACTGAGAGAACTCCATTAGCATAGAATCCAAAAGATATAGATGCGCAGTAACTTTAACTGACAGCACAATGTCTATATCTTGCAAGGCATCAACCAAAGCGTCTTCATCAAAAACGTCAACTTCAATCTTTCTGACATGTTCGGGGAGGTTGGAGGTATCCGAGGTAGAGCGATGCAAAACAGTAATTGGAGCTCCCGAGGCAATCAGAGCAGGAACAACTCGAGAGCCAACGAATCCACGGTGACCATAGACAGCAATACGGTTGAAGGCCATGGTTTGAAAGACAAGAGACGTCTGGAAAAGAATGTCCAATCGGTATAGAAAAAGAATTGTTAGAATAGGGCCGGTTTGAAAACTTCTATCAAGATAGAGAATTTCGAGCTCTGGGAATATGATCTTATATAAGTCCCAACTCAAGAAAACTGTGGGTTCAGAGGAATGAGCGTGAGTCGCCTTCTCCACTTTGTAAAGAAGAGTAGCCGGCCCACGTCGTATAGACCCGCTTACACCGAAGCGCGGACCTTGTCCGCACCTCACAGATCCGACCAGACCAACCGGTTCGCAATTTGGCCCAAAGAGGAAAACAAATTACCCTCAGGGGTCTAGATTAGCCATATGCCCATACAAGGCCAATTCGTGGTGGAGCCATTCAGTTGGTAGCATACTAGAATATCCGATTTATGAGTTTATGAAGCTTTCATATTTGGGATTGCATTGGGTTAGAAATGTGAATCGTTATGGGTAAATATATTTACGGTATGGTGTTGATATGCTGGATCTGGATTATTAGAGGATTCAAATGTCAATTTCTATCCATCAGTTTAACAAGCTAGATCCTAGGTATCGTGCTACTCCAGCAGGGTCTGTGTTTGACAGCAAGATTACTGCTGCAATCCCGGACCCCGCTCGTCCAGCAGCCTCTTTAAGTAGTCCACATCAATAGCAGGGAACTCCACCTCCTTGCCCGCCTTTTTCAAAGCAGCCACAGTATGCGACTTATCCAACGCGAACATGGAATGACCATGTTGGAAATACTTCTTGATGACCATCCAATGCAATTGTTCCTCTTCGCTAGCTCCCTCAGACACAAGTCGCAGCCATTCCTGCATCGGGACGACACGACATTTGCCAGCCTCGCCCGACTGATCCAACGATGGTATCACATCGACTAAGGCCTGAAGAGGGAGAGGCTGTGAGCTGCCCAAATGGTACACCTGCAACCCAGGGGCTGCGGCACTCTCTTCAGACGCCAGAGTGTACATCGAAGATGTCAAGGCGTCAACAGGAAGAAAATCCACGACAAAATCACCAGCCTCGTCAATGAGGCTGCTGGAGTTGATTTCAGGAATAGCCCGGTGCTGGATCATGTGCATGATCATGTTGCTGATAAAGTCCATTTCAGGGACTGGGACGTTGGTGGCTCGGCTGCCAGAGACGGAGGAAGCACGGTAAATGGACACGGGTACACCACGAGCGGCAGCTTGGGTGAGGTACATTTCCGCAGCCCAGCGAGATTTGAAATATCCGTATTCGTCGGCTGTAGGCGGTGTGAAATGGCTGGGGTCCTCTTCCCTGTTGCTGGCGAATGCTCGTGTCCGGGAGGTTTTCTTCCAGGTTTGCAGATGGGGCACACTCCATGTTGATAGATGGTGGATTTCTAGTAGGTGGCCATGGCTGCTCGTAGCCAGCTCGATGAGTGTCAGAATGGCGCTGGTATTCACGGGTTTCAGGTTGACATATGTCTTGAGGAGCGAAACATCCGCTGCAATGTTAAAAATCACTCGAACCGTGTCCGCCAGGTTTCTGAAGGCCTCTTCTGCGAGTCCAAAACGAGGTGAAGTCATCTTCCCCGGAACGGCGCGAGTCCGCGAAAGAACATCTTCAGTGGAAAGGTGAGCATCCAGCAACTTGTACTTAGTCAACCCTTCGACCAGATGGTCCGCAGTCAATTCATCGTGGATTCCAATGACGTAAACTGTCGCATTGTGGTTGTTCGAAAGGATAGTGGCCAACATGTGAAGGCCAATGAAGGTGTCTATACCAGTAAGCAGTATACTGCTCACATCGGTACGCGGGAAGCGAGAAAGCTGGCTGTAGTCGGTGTTCATGAGTGAAGCAGGTAACGAAATTTCTTCCGACCAATCGATGCTCTTCGAAGCACTTTCATTCTGAACACCCGCGGGCCCCTTAAGCTGCTTTTGAATCATTCCAGCAATAGCTAAAGGCGTGGGAGCATGTATGAGCTCCTGCAACTTCAGTGTGACTTTGAACTTCTTCTTGAGCCGCGACTGCAGTCGCAGAAGTAAAATGCTTTGGCCACCCAGTTCGAAAAAGTTGTCATTCGGAGCAATTGACCTGTCAATGCCCAACAGGCTACACACCTGTCCGGTGACGTCCTGCAGGATTTCTGCATAATCGCCAGCAACCTCTGTCACTGGCCTACTGTCAGTGTGAGTGGTCGTGTGTTGCGCTAAGTCCAGTTTCATAGTCAGTAAACTGCGACGGTCCACCTTTCCGCCGATAGTCATGGGCAACCTCTCGAGAAACTGGTAGCCGTTTGGACACATGTACTGATTCAAAGAGGCCTGTGCCATACGGTGGAGGTAGTTAGCATACTCATCCCGTTCCTGGGATGACTGAAGCGGTTTCTTGGTGATGACAAAAGCGATAAGTCGCCGCTCGTCAGTCAGGGGAGACGTCGCATCGCTCTTCTCGGAATCTCGAGCGATGACTGAGATATCCACGATACCCTGGCCATCTGGTGTTGATGCATTCTTGTAGAGTACCTGCTCCACCTCCCCTAAGTCGATCCGGAATCCGCGAAGCTTGATCTGCTTGTCCCCAGCAATTCGACCCTTGAAAGTGAGCAGCCCATTTGGCAGAAACGATCCCTTGTCACCTGTCCTGAACATCTTCTTCCAACCTCGTGCTTGATCTTCTGGGGTGGGATTGAGATCTCTCACAAAAGAGGTTGCATTGGCCAACGGCCGATTTAGATATTCCAAGCCCACTTGGGCGCCTCCAACGCAGATCTCGCCGACGAATCCCGCCGGGAGCGGATTGAGTACCGCATCAACTATATAATGGCGGCAGTTAGGAAGTGGCCGACCGATCGGGATGTCAAAGACGTCGTCATCTGGCTTATCGACCTTGTGAATTGTTGTCTGAACAACCAATTCGCTCGGACTCCAGGTGTTGTAGACGACGGCTGGTGTCTGTAGGTCGTAGAATGCCCTGGCAATGCGGACTGGAAGCCGTTCTCCAGCGAACAAAGCGGCGCGGTACTGCGAGCACTGATGAAGAGTCTCCCAGCTATGCTCTAGGAGCAAAGCAAAGTGGGTAGGCGTGAAGTAGGTTATGGTCACACCCGTTTCATGCATGAAGGCAGCCAGGGCAGCTGGGTCCTTCCGGATATCATGCTTTGCTACACAGACGCGGGCGCCAGCAGTTAACGCAGAAAAGATTTGAACGACGGAAAGATCGAAGCACAGCGAGGACTGTTGCAAAAATCGATCATCTGATGTAAATCTGAAATACTCGCCAACGGACGCCAGCATCTGCTGAGTGTTCGCGTGGGACAAAACTACACCCTTAGGCTTTCCAGTACTCCCCTAGTAACAAAACAAAAAAAATCAGTGGAATTTATCTAACCTAAGATCAACGACTTACAGATGTATAAATAATGAAGAAAGGATCTTCATTGACAGAAGGCAAATCTCCAACAAACCTATCCTCACACAGCGCTGCCTTCTTCGTATCCAGTAGCCTGAGGCCTGACTTAGACTTGGAAGCAACCGTTTCCGCCAGTCCCTGAAGTTCTGGTCCGAAAAGCAAGACTCCTGCGCCGCAGTCAGACGCCATAAATGCCAACCGATCCACGGCAAAACTGCTATCCAGGGCCACATAGCAGGATCTGGTGAGTAAAACAGCCAGAAGCGCGATGACAGCATCGACCCCTGGATCCACCAGTACACAAATCTTTTGTCTTTCAGTGACACCAGATGCTTTGAGGGATGCAGCAACCCTCTGAGCGCGCTCCACCAATTCGGAGTATGTTATAGCGGCTCCGTCCGATGCAGCGATCGCCACGGCCTCTGGCTGCTTGGCGGCATTTTCCATGATCCTTTGGCACACTCCCACACTGCCCCAGGGGTTCTGAGTAAATTGGGTGTTCCAGAAGTTCTTCTCAAGATGGGCAATCTCCAGCGCGCCACACAAATTGACTTCGGCGATCGGCTGTCGGTGGTCCCTGATCAGGCTGGACATGAATGTGACAAAATTGTCAAAGAAGCGGTTCATGTCGCCTGAGCCGTAAAGCGTTGAAGAGTATTCAAGGCGGAGGTCCAGGCCTCTTTCAGGGTGCTCAAGCGCTTCAAGCTGCATATCGCAGGCGGTTGGTACATCCACGGATTGCACATCATGAACGTTGAAATCTTGGGTGCGGTAGACTGGGAATGTGCCATGAATTTGATAATTCAAGGCAATCTGGGCCAAAGGGAAGTGGCTGGTTGTTTTCTCCGCCTTGACAACATCTACAATGCTGTCAAAGGGCGCTTTATTATGAGACATGGCTTCCAAGGTTCGGGTCTTGGTTGCCTCAAGCAATTGGTCGAATGCACCCTCACAGCTGTCCTGACACCGGATGGGGGTCATATTGACGAAGAATCCCAGCACGTCCTCAAGATCCGGGTGAGGTCGGTCACCGTCGATCATCAAAATCCCCAAGTCGCTGTCCTCAGTATAGCGGAAGATAAAGGCGCGGAAAGCAGCCAGCAGGAATTGAAATGGGGTCGCCCCCGATTGTGAGCAAATTCGTTTCATCCTATTTAGAAGGCTCTTCTTCAGGATGCCAGAAACAACTGTCCGCTGAAGGTCATCGTGCAAAGGCCTTTCAGACTTGGCAAAGGGGAGGAGCTTGCATGTTTTCGGCATTCCAGACAGATTCTCTTTCCAGAAGGTCAGATCAGCCTGCAGAGAAGGTGAGCTGAGCAATCGGTTATGCCAGACGGCAAAGTCCGCATAGCTCACTCCCGGTCGGGGAACCATATCTAGATCTCTACCTTGGCGGATAGCATCATAGATACCGGTCAGTTGGTTCAGCGACGATTTTGCACTACCACGATCAATGGCGATATGGTGGCAGATCAAAACCAGAGCGTGCTGATCATCACTCAACCGGACCAATATGGGTCTAACAACTTCACCCTCCTCGATGTCCAGCTCTATCGCTCTGCGGCGTTGGATTATATCCTGGAGTGAAACGGTGGGGTTTG